CCAGCTGTAAACTGCCGTTAGCGAGCATTCCCTGACATTACAGGGTCGCGTCCTGGGGGGGCTTGCTGTAAATGTGACAGCGCCAATCCTCCACGTCCAGGTAGTACCCAAGGCCCTGTTTTTCCCTACAGTGGACCTCTCTCTTTTCTATGCCACGACCACAAGGTGCAGAGCACTGAGAACATAGGCAAACATACATAGGCAAACCTTTCATGTCTTTTTCATTTTTCCTGTTTGTATGATTTTTTTCTGTACCCCGGTATTGATGCCATTTTTAAAACAATTGTAGTACTTTTAGACAAATAGCCTTATTCCCCCTGTAGTTTAATTCTGAGTAAAACTCCACCATGGAATTATTGAATAACATGCCAAGAAATCTCACAAAGTCCCATGAAAAGTTAATTTTTTCTTAAAATCACTTTCATTTTTGCAGGAGTGAATACTGAAAAAGTTGAACTTAAAGAATTAACAGGAGAACTTAATGTTTTCATTAGTGTTTTCTGTATATAGTCACAATAACTTCGAGAAGTGGTCCCAGGACTGTTCCTTGGGAAACACCTGCTGCTACTTGAACTTGAACAAATTGAGCAATTTCACAGTTTGCAAGTTTCACTGCCCCTTGCACTGATGGGCTACCACCCACCTTGTGCATGTTGCTCAGTTAACTCACGGCACTAAGAAACCCACCTCGCCCCATGGTCCTACGTTCCATTCAGGAGAACACGGAATATCATTACAGCTGATCTCTGTTGGGGGTCTGGGCTCCTTGCACTCTTCCTCTCGAACCCTGACTGCTGCCTGGTGGTGGGCCAGCTGAGACCTAACACAGGTGACCTTTTGTCTTTCCACCCCTCCCCCGCAGGTAGCAGAGCAGCCCGATATGGTCTCCACCTCCCACCTAGACACATTTAAAGGTTAAAGTTGATGATAGTAGAATGCTGTAAATAGTCAAACCTGCCTATGTAGCCACCTCTCCTTCCAACCACCCGGCCTTAACAACCACCATTTCCTGGTCCTACATTCTATTTTTCCTTGGTTCATTAAGCAATCTGCCCACTCAGGGGACCGAGGCAAATTGATCTTGGACAGGTGCCCTTCTTGTGCAGGACTCACTTGAAGAAGCTATCTACATCATTAGACATCATAACCATACATCCCTCTAGAGATGGGGGTGCAAATGGTGACATCAATAGGTGGTGGATTGCTCATTCCTTGACAAAGACTGGAGTTGAACATTGAAAAATGTGGGTATATCATAAGTCCAATTTTTTTTGTATTGGAAATCACAGTTCAAAGCTGTTTCAGAATAACTTCTATCAACACAGAATCAATATGAACTTTCAAACTTATTTCCATTTTCCCTATATACTCTGGGTAAGAGTTGGTCCCACCTGGCACCACAGGGGATCAGCACATTACAGTCTCGGGTCAGGAGCTCAGGTTTGGGAATATCTGCACACTTCCAAACCCCCACTTTCTCATTGTTGTCCCTCCGTACACACACATACAGGGAATGTTGGGTACCTGAAAGGGAAAAATGTGGGCGAATGAGGCAAAAAATCTTCACTCTCAGCTGATTATCTCTAGTAATAAGGTGATGAGTTTGGTAGCAATGAAGTTGTGGCTGTTTGTGGTCAAACAGCATACCCTGTGAAGCTACAGCAGACATTTCCTGTTTAGTCTAAATCCTACAGTTAGTTTTTAACGATGTTGTTTTTAACATTGAAATAAGATTCCCTCAGCAACAGACCAAACTGATATATCCCATCATCTTTGAACAACTTTATTATTCAGACCCAACACTTCGCAAGAATCCTGCTGAGTCTTGCCTGTTTACTCTTTTATTTATATATGATGGACTAGGGCACATGCCACTTTCTGCTGTGCCCAGCTTATATGTCACAAAGATACACTATGTTCACTGTTGCACTAGGACCACATCTGGATTGTTAATGGACTTGAAGTTACAGTCTTGCTAGCTGACATTTGGCCACAAACACAGGATTTAGAATGTCCTACCTGGCAATAGATCAAGGCAGGCTGGAAGTTACCGGTGCCAAGGATCCTGCCCAAGGTCGCCCAAGGGCATTAACATTGGCACTAAACAACGATAAAATTTGCAATCTGCTCACATTTACAGACTGAGCCTAGAGGATTTCTGCCCATTTTTGTCTACATGTTGGACTCTATCCAACACACATCCTTTACTACATTCTGTGACATCAGCTGAATATTTCAAGATGGTCCTATCTATGTTCATGTGAACCACAAATGGGCTGATTGGAAAAGTGAGTGAATGATTAATGTCAATAATGTGTAACAATGATTTAAGGATAACAAATAATGTGCTACGTAGAATTAATGCAACCAATTACGCTTCATGAACAATTAAAATACTGACAATGCTTGATGTTGACTTAGAGTGGGTGTTTAAAAATGATTAGAAATGGAGCTACTTGGAACATTTCTTCTAACATTTCAATTTTTTTATAACTAACTGAAGGCAAAGAAACTGCAGGTAATGCAGGTAAAACTTGTCTGGTGCAGGTAAGAGTCAGAACTACATGCACCCTGCTACTAACCTCCAATACAAGATGCAAACCAGGGCATATAGCCCTTGTATGTCCATGTGTGCATAATCTTTAATAAATTTCTTATTTCTCAGTCTCACGGAATGAAACGTATGCAGTCACCCCCCTTTATGCACCATGTGCATGAGTGAGTGAGAGAGTTCTCACACATACTTATTACTACTCACCTCCGATACATGACGCGGAGCAGGGCGTATAACCCTCGTATCTCCAGGTGAACTGTACAGCGGCTGAGGGGGCGATGTCAGTGGAAAACAGGGGAGAGATGACGTTGATGTCTGCATGGCAGGGGGCCAGGTTACACCGCTGTTCATTCGGAGGGACTATTGCTGATGAGATAAAACAAAACAAAAAACATATCAATATTATCATTAAGATATCAACATGATGAGTGTGTAGCAAGCCAAGTGATGTACGTTTTACTATTGCCACATGTAATGTCTACTAACATAATGCTGCAAGGTCACAATCTTATATCCACCACCCTGCTGGAGAAGCCACAGTAGGGAGTACTTCCTTAGTGCGACGCCCTGGGCACTGAAGCCTTCTGTTTAAAATTCAGAGATTTCCAATGCATCTTCCCTCAGAATAACATCCTCTTGCATATAAAAACTGTGCACACCTTGGAGGTACTGCACAAGAGATATATCTCAAACACTTTTTTCAAATGTAACCTGGGTTGGTGGATAAATGTTGATGGTGGTTTTAATTTTTTTTCAAATCTGAGAATACTTGGTGCAACCATACCTGGACATCTGGAGAATGGCAGGTCATCTCCCACCATTGTTTTGAACAGGGGGAGGAACAGCTTACACCTGACTGGTCTCCGCTGCACACCTGGCCCACAGGTGGTGCTACAGGTGCTCCACTCACCTACCACAAACCTGCATAGATGTATAAAGGTTGTGAAAAATTTAAGTATCACAGGTTGTTTGGTCTGAGCTGGTGTGTTGTGCAAATGGCAGCTATACCTGCAGCTGATATGTATACAGATGTATCAAAAACACAGGGTTCAAAATGAAAGAAAGGTGCCGTGCCAGGGGACTCCAAATGTAAGCATGTCTTTGATACTATATAGGTCTGAATACTTGACCACATACATGTATCCATTTTCAATAATAACTTTGTCATATGATTTTAATGTTGTAGTGTTTTAAAGAAGGCTGTGATAGAAAAGAAGCTATTAATGACAATCACTGAGAAGGATTTAAGGCACCTTTTTCCTTAACAAGACAGTTGAATGTTTCAGGAGAAAAGCACGACTATCTCAATTCCCAAGAATGTTATCATTTTGGGATTGCACTACAATTGCACAATGTTTGTGACCAGGCCATAACTTTCTCATTTCTCACCTTGGTATTTCCATGAAAGGGTCTCCTGTCTGCCTTGGCGGTTGGTGTGTGGAGGAAGACTGGGTGTGGACGAATATTGTTGGGTGTAACTCGTGTACTAAAGATGAACAGAAAACAAATGGCATGATATTAAAGTCAATTTCTATTTTCTCTCCAACCTTAGTATCTCTTTGCCACCCAACAACCAAACCATTGTAATTTGGCCCTTTTTGAAGCCATCCCTACTTTCTACAGCTTCACAAAAATTCCTGACAGAATAGTGATACAATACATTTTTAAATACTGTATATTGGAATAATATAGTTACATGTATTTTCAATGTACAGTCAAGCATATGCATTTATACTAATCTAGTCAGATTCAGGGTTATTTTTTACCTTTTAACGTTATGTCCATATCACCTGATATGAAGTCTAAATTGAAATATCTAGAATATATTTGCACCAAAAAAAAAAAGAATCTATTCACAATGTTCAGGTTTTTTTGACTCAGTTCTCATTCTTGGATGTTATTTCCAGTTGGACCAGGTCCTGCCGAACCAGTACCAACCGGCCTAGTTGTTGACTTACTTTAGTATGTGTATAGTCCTGTCCTGGACAAGTTGACACAACATCAATTAGAGCATATCTAGAATGCCACCCACCCACAACAGGGTGAGATATATTCATCAAAGGATGGAATGTCATTGATGTTGCGATTTTGGGAAGCAGGCATTTTACTGCGAAAAGTTTTTCAATGACGTGCAACAATGAATTCAGAATAACAAATAACATGCTACGTGGAATTAAAGCTACCCATTACGTGTAACATTTAAGAACTTCCCAACAATGTGTAACGTTGAATTAATAGTAGACAGGTACGATTAACAGTGAATCAAAATGGCTCACTTCACCTCATGGAAAAAAGACATGTAGACCCTCATCCCAGGTAAAAGCTGAGTCAAACAACATTACTTTTATTCCCTGACGTCACGATAATCAATATTGCTGGATTCATATGGCAAAAATCACTCTGCCTTTTTATTTCATTAAAAAACTTATTCTCAGTCTCCTCATCTAAAGTAAACTTCCTTGGTCTCCTGAAGTTCTGAGCTGAACTGAAGGAGGGCCTGCATGGGGGGCAGTGATTACGAATTATGCAAAATTTTCACCACCGATTACGAATTACGTTAAATTCTCAGAGCTGATTATGATTTTATGCATTGTGGCTAATGTACTATTATGAATTATGTTGATTTTTGGGGAGGCTGCCTATGGAATACGAAGACTAAAAAGGCCTGATTATGCCTTACGAAAAAGGGCATGCAGGCCCCCCTGAAGTAGTCCCTTACCAGAGTCCAGACAGTGCAAACCCTCTGGGAGACAACTGTTTCTCTCTGCTTACAGACAAATTACTAGAGTAGAATTTATGCTGGGAAAATACAGCTTTTGATGACACAGAAGACATCACAGATGGGGTATAATGACTTTCAATACTTGCCTATTAGAAGGCTGTTGCCTCACATGTAAACATGAAACATTGCTAGCATTTGTACCTCATGCAAGAGATGCCAGAGGGATGGCAAACAGCAAACTAGTGCTTGGAAGTTGGAGATCATATCTGACAATGTATTAACAAAGATCAGTGTTTTCATCCTCTATAACCCTTCAGAGGTCTGCGCCAATTACAAAACAGTAGTAACTGTGACTTAATTAATTAAAACTTAAAAGTAACCTCTCTTTCCACCAGTCAATTGTATGTTACCTTTGGGAGGGCAGGGAAATTGGGTTGGAATACCCAAGAATATTATAGTCTAATTTAAAATTGTCCTTGGAATACCTACATGATCATTTTTGAGCTTCTCTCTGTTATGAGAACCTATTTAGTACAGTATATTGGTGTTATTTACAGGACAGGTCAACAAGAAAAGGTTTAATTAATTGACACTTAGGGGTTAATTAATATTTGATTGGCCACTAAGTGTGTTTTGTAAACATGTTGCAAAACAAAACTAGTATCATTGCTTCCCATGCACTTGATGCAGCATACAAAATGTATCTGACATGACATTAGAAGTCTGCTGTAAGCAATCTTAAAGCAAACGTGGGGTCCAGCTCAACAGGTTATGAGTGTTTTGAGACTTTCTATGTTTTTCTAGTGGTCTGTGTTTTCATTTCTTGGAGAAGCAGATAAGAGATTAAAATGCAGCTCTCCAGTCATTGAACTAACAGACAGAACAACACTTAATGCATATAAAACAGCAGGTGCTGAAGGACCTTGGCCAACCCAGGGCACAGCTCATGCCAGGTTCCATCCTGGTTCTGGCCATCACTGGCTGCCTACATGTGGTTTATCTGGCAAACATGACAAATGAAATTTCATGGTCAATTTCTGGCAGCCCAGGTTTCAGTGAAAGCTACTGGAGACCTGCTTCTCATTAGGCTTAGGGAAAAATTATTGTGTTTCTGGTTACTCTGACAGACCCTAGCAAAAACTCACTGACCCTTAAGGGCGTCGCCGTCGATATCACAAGATCATAAAATTTTCCATCTGACATCTGAATTTCATACCCTAAGAATCGTTATTTGATGCATTTTCAGGAGCGAAATTTTATTGAGTTGAAATCAGGAGAAATATTTGTCCCTCCCTCAAAACATTTTGTTTCTAGTTCCTGGCACACTAGAGACCAGCATATGGCAACAATTGGAGCACATACAGGAGACACAAATATTCTAACTCCAAAGGCAACACCAGTAAACGTTTCTGGTTCTCAGGATTTGAAAAAGTGATGCTTCAGCAGCTTAACTGAGAAGAGAGTCTGTTCAGTGTATTACCCCATTTCCTGTGTCTGACCTTTTCACCTGTCATTCTTTCAATCTTCCTACCAAATGCTACCAACTACCCAAAGCAATTTGTGAGAATACTTCCTACAATTGTGCTACAGTGTATAAGCACATGAAGTGCGCATGACAAACTAGGAAGTTACATTGATTCCTTAATCCAATGTAATCTGTAAATGGACTAAAACAACCTTTCCTCCATTCTGTCCTCTGTCCCTAAAACAAGTAAAAGCCTGTCAGACTTGGTTTCTCATCAGATGGGATTTAAAGCCCCAGACAGGCCCTGAGTGCCCTGTAAGTCTATAGAGTGGCCCTGTGCCATCCGCCCATCAACTCCAGTTATGGCACCAGCCTACATGTAAGCTGCCAAGGTCAGGTCAGGCGGCTCTGGGGGAGGGGAGGCCAGGAAATCATCTTGACAAACGCACAAAGTTCTTCAGAGCAGTTTAAGGCCTGTTTCATTTTCAACAAAATTAAATAGGTTAGGCAGCAATTAAGGGGTTTTGTTTTTGAGAAAAAAAGGTCCAAAAGTCACTTTCCTTTTAGTAATGTTAACATTACCACAACCTGTGCCATTAAGACCCTGGTTCTCATGTATTTCTTTAATCAAGCATACATTTACTAAATACATAATCTATTCATCTTTAAGTTGCAATTTTGACTGAGTAATTTCAAGAGACAGCTCTGTGGATGGAGGCTGTCTGAAGCCTAATTAACAAAGGGAAATCACAATAAGCCTCTGTCAGTCTCACCACATCAGTTTACCTTCTGGCCATCTAGAGGAAGACTGATCACCCTTCAACCCTGTCTGTGGCCTGTTTGTGCTTTGGGACTCAAAACTCACAGGCAAACAGGATTCTAGCAAGTTGAACAGAAGGGTCTGTATGGGGGGATCTGAGCAACGCCACCACGCTTAGTGGTAAATTCAGGCCGGCCGGCAAATTGAGTTGTTCTTGAATAAGGCTGTTGGGAATGACTTCTTTGGAATGTTCTAATTTTTATATTCATGAGGTGTCTGTCAAAACTGGTCTGTAGACCTTACATGCTCTGTGTAATGATTTTGGGGCAATGCGTTGTTTGGCCATGAGATACGAAGAATTTCTAACAGAACAATGACTTCAGGAATGAAAAATAACATGCTATGTGGAATTAAAGCAACCGATTACACTGCACAAAGAATTTCCCAACAATTTTCTTGAATTAAAGCAGCCAGCTACGATTAACAGTGAATTGAAATGGCTCACTACGCCTCACGGAAAACAGCATGCAGACTCTAAAAACAGGCTCTTACTAGTTCTAGCAAGTTGTACCGGAGCTGCGGAGGTCTACAGAGGCCAAATAACACAGCAAAGCAAACAAGGAGGGACATGTGTTCACTTTGGAGTTTACCTGATAGATAGTTAAGGGTCAACCCTGCAATGTTGCTCATATATATCTCAGTTAAACTGCCAGAGAAAACTGTGTCCCGACAAGGAAGACTTCCACAAATGCTTGTTCCAAGGGCCTGCTAGGTCGCATCTAGCTTGTTGTATCCATTCGAGAGCCACCATACACAGACATTCAACATTTAAATACAGAAAAGCAAGGTCACACCTTTCAAAATAGCTAGATGTCAGAACTACTGTATAATGTTACAATTATATGTAAAGTTACTACTATTAGTCCTGGTACTAAGTTGTACATTTGTAAGTTACAGCACTAGTACTACTAATGGATCTGAGTTTTCTGATATCAGTAAATCAAATAAATGACTTTTCATGCAAAAACTTTTCCTCTGTTGGAGATAGGACTCCTGTACTTTTTAATTTCCACAAGGACAAAAATGGCATACATTCATATTGAGTTGACTGACCTCAAATGCCCCTATGACACAGATAATGCCCTTGGGCTGTAACATAATTATGTCAACAAAGGCTGATCTGTTTCTCCACACATGGTAACAATTTATTCAACACAGGACATTTCCTATGCTAGATCACTATCTTGACTTGAGTCTCAATTTCATAATTGGTGCCTTTATAATATGGGATCAAGTTGATCCATAGATTACAGTGCTAATGATCTGTTTTGAGTCTATTTTGACACATAATCCATGTTCTTAATGGGATACACTGTTATTACAAAAGGGTTGGAATGAAACCTCCATGGCAAAATATGAGGACTGAACAAACATTCAAATCTATAAAAAATAAAAATCAAACGTCTCCCTCAATTACATAATGGAATATCCCTAAAAAGGTTAGGCAAGACTTGGAAACATTCATAGTACATGTAACTGTTACATTATCCTAAAGTATTGCTTGATTTTAAACATTTAACCACTTCTCTTGCTGTTTTGGTTACTTAACAGCGGTAATTAAGTAACAAAATTATAGAGGTACTTATAGATCGGTTACTCGGGAAATATTGACAGACCAAATGACAAATGTTTCTTTCCAGACAGTGACAAACAGTAGCGCTCGTCCCTGTCCCTAATTATCTCTTATCAGCATCATCAGGATGGTTACATGGCTACAATTTGTCACTTGCGATCACTGATATCACATGATTCACATCAATCACCAACCACAACGTGGGAAATATATTTTCCGAGTAGGTTTCAATCTTGATGTAATGTTTATCAACATCAAACTGATTACGGGATTTCCTGCCTTGACCCGCATAACCCACGAAACGAAGAGAAAACAAACAACTCTCTATTAAACTTCTTCCCTCTTTCGCCTTACTCCTTATTGATGGCTTATCAGTGGTCCAAATTCCCGATCACTTCCCTTTTCACTCACGGACAATATCAAATATTTCTCAAAGATTGACGAGCTTGCTCCGCCATGTAACGGTTCAGGGGAGCCACACATATAACACATGACATCAGGGACAACAAGAGAAGACTGAGACTTACCAGTCGGTAGGATTAGCAGGAAAATATTCAGGATTCTGCGGAGGACATCCATGGCTCTCGGGTTGCGTCTCCGGTCAGGAAAGGTGCCCGAAGCTCATTCAACTTGCACTTGACCGTGGGTAATACGGCTGTAGTCCACCGCGTCCAGCCCGATCCAAAATGGCAATGGCTGGGTTGATTACCTCCGGGAATCCGCGGTGGGGTGTGTGTGTGAAACCGGAGCTGGCCGCCGGTATTTCCCCGTACAGGACCGTCCGACAAGGTAAACACACATGGCCTACTGGCGCTGCAGGATAATTCATGTGACATGACAGCGGCATGGCAGGCATCGTAACGGCCCATCTCCTGGATGTTTGTACACAAGGCCCGCCCGAGGGGCTGGGAAGGTCCCTGCCGCTCCGACACAGTTAGAAAGGCAGCAGAAATAACAACTGAAATAGGTCATAACATCACAGGCCCCCAGGGGGCACGACCCTTCAAGAATCCGGGAAAATAAAATAATCTCGCACCCCAAAGAGTCGTGGTGAATACATACAGTATAAAGACATGGTAAATGTTACTGAGAGAACCAAAACATCTTTCTCCTGTGCACGTCTAGTAGTTCTACATGTAGTCTATTACTGTCATATCATGTCGACCCTCTTTTCCGTACTTGCCCTTTTTTCTCCATTTCAACAACACATTGGTTCTCCCTGGTTATATAATAGGAAGAAGTGCACAAAGTTTGCTTCTGTATAAAGATCGTCCTTCCGAAATAGTGCCATGACAAATCAATTCATATTTCCTTGCACTAGTTGCAGACTAGAAAAGGAACTTACCGAAAAGTAAATTTTCCGCACTAATAATAAGTCTGCCAGAGGCTAAAATTGTAAAAACTCAACTCAATTTACCTCGAAGAATCTTTGACACCTCTACCGCATACAGCATTGAATGAAATAATTACTAACGAAGTCTCAAGGCCTCAAGGAATGACGAGTGTTTCAAGAAAGCTAGCGCTAGATGTTTCCTTTTTTCGTTCTTCCGCCTTCCTTTCATCTTGTGACTTTCTTTGTCCTTGCTTGTTTCTTATACCACGCGTCATTGGTAGAAGTCATGAACCGGATCTAAAGAGCCTGATGTCTGTTTGTACAGTTGACATCATTTCTAACGAGGGGCAAAGTACGATGAACTCGCTCATCCTTTAATGTGCAGTATAATCAGCAAACGGGAATACCAGCGTTACATGTATGACAAAACATCGATAATGATAATGATAACAATGATAAAGATCATGAAGATGGTCTGTTTCAATACTATAACGTACGAGTATTGGAGGTGTAATAACGCTCTGATGCTCCTATAGATTTTAATCGCTATTTCTAAATGTAATTCTACCTTTTAAGATTGATAAATTTATATATTTTGTCGAAATATGTTGTCAAAACAAGCCTCGCCATCCAGCCATCGCGGCTGCCAGGAAACTTGTTAGTGTTCCTATGTTCTTGTTTGCTGAACAAACCAGTCTACCACTACCATCATCGCATCGGATGATGATAATACTATAATAGTAAATATGGCAATGATGATGATGGTAATGATGGTAGACCGGATGGCACACATGTCACCCGCGTGAACATGTAATAAAAGCATTGCTCTTGAAAGCTCTTCGTTTCCTCTTCTGATGAAAGTATCGGTTTTGAAAGGTCCTGCTTTTTTTTGTTGCAATGAAGTACCATGGGTGCAATAGCAGTAATAAAATTCAGAGCGAGTGAATCTGGTGGGGCAAGAGTTGACGAACGTAATTTGGTTTGTAAGATTTGGTAAGATTTTTCTATGTCCAGTATGTTGCCACTAATGTAGGATACAGTCTTTACAATATACACAGATAGGTAGATACATTGGATAATGTTTAGCACGGTAGTTGAACGTTAGCCCTCCACAATTTTATATGCATTACATAACGGTGTACCTATGACCAAGGAGGTTAAAAATCAAATTAAAGCCATTCATTAAAGCTCCTTCCTACATAGCTTTGTATGCAGGCTAAATCTCACATTCATCTACCTGTAATACACCTTTAATAGTCCTGTACTTTTGCCGTATCACCAAAGTGTCTGCATGTAGTTACGTCCGATCGAATGTCATCCTGTCGAAACAAGTGACGGAAGTCTACTCTCGGTACGCTTTTCGTTGTAGTTTTTTGGCGACGCTTTAGGGGCGGAGCGAGCCTGCTTCACTGTTCGTCACAGTCATTCCTCGCGGTCAAGACTTCAGAATCTGTAATGATCCACGCATAGATCTATGCGTCTCAAACGCGGAAGTGGTGATTTGTTTTCTGGGTTTATAGTCTTTTGTACATGTCCCTTTTGCCTTGTACATATTGTGTGGAATAGCCCCATCACTGTGTAATAGTCTCAAACGGCACTTTTGTCAGCGTCGATCTCACCGGCGTGCTGGAGGATGTGCTGTTTCAAATAAGACAATCGGGCTGCAGAATAGCCGCACACGTCACAGTTATACGGCTTCTCGGCCGCGTGCGTGGTCACGTGCACGTTCAGGTTTGACTTGGTTGCCGCCGCGTATTCGCAAACGTCACACTTGTACGGCCTGTCGCCGGTGTGCGTGGACAGGTGCCGCTTCAAAGTTGACTTCAGCGCTGCAGAATAATCGCAAACTTCACACTTGTACGGCTTTTCGCCCGTGTGTGTGGAAATGTGCCGTTTTAACGTCGACTTCTGTGCTGCGGAATAACTGCAGACATTACATTTGTACGGCTTTTCCCCGGAGTGGACCATGGCGTGCTG